CTGGACTTAACTGTCAGGGGTCCTTTACCTTTTTATACAACCTGGATCTAGGATGGAGGGGTTTCGAGCATTAACACTCCAAGAGGGTCCCATGTCTTCCATGGCTAGCTCCTTGGATTCAAAACTGGCAATTCACATTGTGCTGTGATCGTCTTTTCTCCAGCTTGCAAAACTTCTTGCCTCTTGATGGACCACTAAACATGGTTGGTGGCTGTGTTAACCTTGGTGGGTCATGCTAGAGAGCCTGGCTCTATCAGGATCAGTGACCGGCAGAGATCTAAAGCTGGGCAAAGACAGGCTGAAGCAATGTGTACCAGTTCCAGCCTTTGCAGAAGAAGACCTTTGCTAGTTCTTCTTCTATCCCCCTTTCAGAAAAATCCCTACCAGTGGTTAGTCTAAAAACTGCTAGTGGTAAAATAAAGCTTCCCCCACTCCCTAGGAATAGGCATTTCAAGGACCCATATTTATAGCAGAAATAATGCAAACTAAAATACTTCCAGGTTTCTGTCTTCCCTATGTCCTGAATGAATTGCAACCATTCACTTAGTGGGGAGAATGTAAACAAGTACCCACTGGGGTGAGGGGTACATTTGCTTCCAGTGGCGGAGGAACCCTCTCCAGCACCCGGGGCGGGACGCTGAGGGGCAGGGCGAACTGCCCAGCGACGCATGTGCGGCATCCCGTATCGCCTCCCCCCAGCTGTAGAGCGGCCAAGGGTGCGCACAGTCAGTATGGGTGCCACTTACATGGTGTCTGTACGGCCTGCCGCTCTCGCACGGCAACTGTATGGGCTGCTGCGCATGCACGATCCATACGGGATGCCGCACATGCACACACTGTACGGGGTGCCACTCATGTGTTGCACCTGTACGGGTTGCTGCTTGCACAGAGAGCGACATCCCGTACGGACTGCGCATGCGCGGCAGCCCATATGGAGGCCCGTATGGACAGCGTGCGAGAGCGGCAGCCCATATGGACGCCGCACAAGCGGTGCCCATACTGACTGTGAGTGCCCTTGGCTGCTCTACAGCTGGGGAGAGGCAGGGGCCATCTTGCCACCACCCCAGAGTGGCACCCAGGACAGCCCGCCCCCTCTGCCTCCCACTTCATACGCCCCTGTTTGCTTCCTGCCCATGGTCACCCTCACCCAGGAGCCTAAAACCGGCTCCTTCTCTTTACATCCCATAGTTCCTTCCACTCATCTGCATAGCCCCATCTGAGTTCTCTCTGTTGGTCACATTAAAGCAAGCCAGATGTTTGTGACCTAGCATGTGTGGCCACAGGGGAAAGTTGGTGGTTAAAAAAGTGCAGCATGAATTTTAGATCCTGTCAAACCCTAAGAAATATAAAGCTGATAAAAGTAAACATGTCGCAAGGGGGAACGTTATTTAATTTCCGAAGATGAATAAGACTGACCGACCAATGAAAACCCTGCACTGTTTAGTCATGCATAATAGTTCTCTTAAGTGTTTGGGGCTTTTTTCTGGCTAACTGAAGCAACTGCTTTAACTTTCACGGCCCAAATTAAATTTGATTTAATCGAAATTCTGCTCGTGTGATAAAGGACTTGAGTGCAGTGAAACTGCAGGGAGAGAGCCCATTATCTGGCACTAAACAAATGCAGCTAATGCTGCAAAGAGTGCAGGATAATTTGTTTTTCATGTGAAATTTCTCCTCAATAAAGCTTTAATCAAACTGAAGTATTATATGGAGAAAAGAAATCAAGCAGTGCTTTATCTCAAAAGAACTCCATAAAACTGAAAGCAATTACATTTTAACACACACACCCCTTTGTCATTTTTCAGCAATGAGGGCAATTAAAAGAGAGAAAAAAAGTTTTGGTCAAGTTTGTACTACAAACCTTATCAAATAAAACCTGAGCACAAAATATGAATGACCAAGAGTGTAGTAAATGTTTTGTCCAACCCACCCACATAAAATAAGAGATTTTCTTCCTGCTGTGCTTGTCCCAATGGCCAGCAGCACAGTAGGACATGCAGGAAGAGCCCTCACCCCAAGTCTTGGATTGCGGAGATCTGAGTACATAAGTTAAATCTTCCTTCAGCCATGAATCTCCCTGGATGTCCTCAGGCACTATGCCTAAGGTTGTTTGGGAGATACCTGCCAGGTACACTAATGCAGGAGACCCAAAAGCCAAGTCACTGAGAGCAAGGTGGTCTCATCACCACCCATTCAAATGTTCGTCCAGCCTTGCAAGGCCATCTCTGCATGAGAAAGCAAAGCATGCTCCAGCCCAGCTCACTCTCCAGCCCATCTCTCCTAGAGTATCCAAGCATTTGGAGCATGTCTGCCGTGGGGCAGCTTGGCTGTTGCTGTGAGCTGCACCGTAATAGCTGACACACGTTCAAGGGGCTGCCCCATGGTGTACATGATTCAGGGCAGAAATGTGCAGCCCCAGTCTTCTGCCTCGTGTAATTCCAATCCTTACCACCAAAATAGGGCTCGTGCCAGCAGCAGAAAACGTCACTGGCAGGGTTCTAGAGGCACTTTCAGGAGGGTGGGAACAGATGCAAGAAGAGGCATTAGATCATGGGAAGGCAAACTAAGGCCCAGGGGCCGGATGCGGCCCAATCGCCTTCTAAATCTGGCCCGCGGATGGTCTGGGAATCAGCGTGTTTTTACATGAGTCAAATGTGTGCTTTTATTTAAAATGCATCTCTGAATTATTTGTGGGGCATAGGAATTCGTTCATTTCTCCCCAAAAAATATAGTCCGGCCCCCTACAAGGTCTTAGGAACAGCAGACCAGCCCCCTGCTGAAAAAGTTTGCTGACCCCTGTATTAGATCATTAATCAGGGCCGGCCCACCTATGAGACAGGCTAATGCAGCTGCCTTGTGCAGTGGGACACCAGGAGTCAGCACCTTCACAGGTTCCCCTCTGGCCACGCTCTCTCTGCCACTGGTGGGATCTCTGGCACTCCACAAGATATCGTGAGAGCTCTGTCAGATCTCGCCGGAACCCACCACGAGGACCCAAGTAAGGAAGACTTCAGCAAGGTGGCAGCTTCTTACTTTGTCTCAGGCAGTGAAATGGGACACTCTGCCCCTGTCATTAATATACAAATTTGCAGGACTGGTGCCTGCCTGCAGGCATGCTTTATTCCCTGAGAAAGTCTAACTGGAGGACTGTGCCATCAGCGGTGGACTTTGGTAATCTTTTGTAATATAGTGCCCTGTGGGGGGGGGGGTGCCCACATCACGCAAAATCTGGCACTGGTGCCACTTTGGAGCCAAAATGTAATACTGTTGTTTCATTAAAAGGAGGAAACTTTTGCCCATGGCAATAGCTGCTGATTTCTCCCACGGTCCAGCAGATTTTGAGCCAATGAATGCTTTAAGCACTTGGCCCCTCAGCCTTCCAGTACATTTCTTAACTGAGATGATAGAAAAGAATGATCTAAGATTGGTTGGTCTTGCCTAAACCAAGGCTCATTCTTTTCTACTCAGGCTATTGATTTATCATGTAGAAGTTTAGCATATAGTTTACTGATTATGCTGAAGAGACTTATTGGCCTATAGCTAGCCGGATCATTCGTAACTTCTGGCACTACAGCTGCCCAGTCGCACTTGGTTGGAACGCAGCCTGTTTTAGTCATTCTTTGTCCGAAGAAACTTTTCCACTCCCTCTTGACCAACCCTCAGGGGGGAAGGGTCACATGCCAGCCGTGGGTGTTGCCCAGACAAAAGTTGGCACAACTACGCATCCACAGGCCTCTTTTTATGTTTACAAATCCAAAAGCTATTTCCCTGAGCTAGTGAAGTATAGGCTCCTGGAATCTTGGACCTTGACTTGGGAGTGGAGTCAATTGCAATATTGGAGCGAAGTTGGTGTGCCCCGTTATGCTCACACAGATGTTTTGAGTGATGGATTGGAGTGTGACAGAAACTTTTGGGATGGTTTAGACCATGGGTAGGCAAGCTAAGGCCCGGGGGCCAGATCCAGCCCAATCGCCTTCTAAATCCAGCCTGCGGATGGTCTGGGAATCAGTGTGTTTTTACATGAGCAGAATGTGTCCTTTAATTTAAAATGCATCTCTGGGTTATTTGTGGGGCATAGGAATTCGTTCATTTCCCCCTAAAAAATATAGTCCAGCCCCCCCACAAGGTCTGAGGGACAGTGGACAGGCTGCCTGCTGAAAACGTTTGCTGACCTCAGGTTTATACTCTTCTATAATTAAGTACCGTCAGTACTGCTTTTCTTCTAGGAAAAAAGGTGCCGGGAAAAAGGTTAAGGGGTGATATGATAGCCATGTTCAAATATATAAAAGGATGTCACATAGAGGAGGGAGAAAGGTTGTTTTCTGCTGCTCCAGAGAAGCGGACACGGAGCAATGGATCCAAACTACAAGAAAGAAGATTCCACTTAAACATTAGGAAGAACTTCCTGACAGTAAGAGCTGTTCGACAGTGGAATTTGCTGCCAAGGAGTGTGGTGGAGTCTCCTTCTTAGGAGGTCTTTAAGCAGAGGCTTGACAACCATATGTCAGGAGTGCTCTGATGGTGTTTCCTGCTTGGCAGGGGGTTGGACTCAATGGCCCTTGTGGTCTCTTCCAACTCTATGATTCTATGATTCTATGATTCTATGACTCCATACCCTTGAGTACCCCCAGAAAAAAAGCACTTACTGGTCTCCAAAGTTGTGTGATCATTTGGGGTCTGTAGTGAGTTCAAACTCATGGCCAAACTGAATTTTAATCTGTCTGTCTTTCTTTCTAGGGTGGATAGGTCCCAACTGATAAGAAAAAAATCCTGGGTTTCTCTGGTCAGCAAAAGAAGGAGTCTCCAGCCAAGTTACCGAAGCAAAACAGCGGTCAGTAGACCTGATCTTTATTTGTTGCAACAAGGATCAAGCACAGAAAGAGTAGCAACCCTGAGCATGGGGTTACGTGAACTTTCAAGACCTCATTTCCCACAATACATTTTTCAACAGCATCATTGATACATCACAACTATGTCACAAAGCAGGAGTGTCTGGCATGTAGAAACATGAGAAACTGTGAGGGGAAATTTGTCTTAAGGGTTTTATGTGCTAGGTTTTCACTTTACTCCAAAACAGAATGCTGCGAACAGTTTCTGCCTTGGCTTGATGGTGGTTGTGCTGCCATCTTCTTCACACTTAAACATAGGGAAATAAGAGCAGGGTGCTGGATCAGGCCCATGGCCCATCTTGTCCAGTATCCTGTCCTCACAGCAGCCAACCAGATGCCTGAAGGAGCACAAGATCATATCTCTCACGTCTCGTGGTCTCCAGCAACTGGTATTTGGAGCAGTGCTGGCTCCAACTGTGGCGGTTGAGGACAGCCATCACAACTGGAAGTCATTGGAAGCCCTCTCTGCCATGAAAGTGTACAATCCTTTTTAAAAGCCACTCAAGTTGGTGGCCTCCTGGAGGTGTGAGTTTCAAAGTTTGACTTAGGTGCTGCATGAAGAAGCACTTTCTTTCACCTCTTCTAAACTTCTAACAAAAGTAGATTGATCTCAATGGGGTTTGGCTGTTGGTCCAGGTTGCCATTTCTGAGACACTCTGAATCCTCTGTATTACTCAAATTTTATTCCTTCCACTATCGACAATGAACATAATATATGGAATTGCAGGACTGATAGACTTCAAAGTTGATATGCTTTCACAGGGGCAAAAGTAATTCCTTTATTTTATTTTATTTATTTAATCCTGTATTGTGTTTTTAATATTTGATTGGGAGCCGCCCAGGGTGGCTGGGGAAACCCAGCCAGATGGGCGGGGTATAAATAATAAATTCTTCTTCTTCTTCTTCTTCCTCCTCCTCCTCCTCCTCTTCTTCTTCGAGGCTTGCCCTGGGCTGTGCCCATCCGAGACCTTCAGAAATTTCCCCCAGAATTTTGAAGTAAGCTATTTTCTCCTCATTCTGCTCAAGGCAGCAAAACTGTGGGTATCTCCAATCTGTATTTTTACACATACCACAGAGCTTTTGAAAAAAAGATCAATGAAATATAAGAAGGACAAGCACAATCTGCTTATCATCCTGTTTGAATTGTACCAAACAGGCATCAACAACAGTTCTAATAGTTCTAATGAACAGAAAATTGTTCCTGGCAAAAAGAAGATTTTAGTGCTGAAATGCATGGTATTGAATGGAGGACACTCAGTTCATAATCAAACTTTTATGACTGTGGATTTATTTTTGATATTGAATTTATATCCTGCCCTTCCTCCCTAGGGAACCCAGGGTGGCAAGCAGATCCATAATTAAAAACAACAAAGCAAATTGTTCTAACACAGTGAAAACTTTCTAAAAACAGAAACAGTTAAAACCTTCTAAAAGCATTTACAGTTAAAAGCAGGGGTAGGCAACCTAAGGCCCGTGGGCTGCATCCGGCCCAATCACCTTCTCAATCCGGCCCACGGATGCTCCGGGAATCAGCGCGTTTTTACATGAGTAGAATGTGTCCTTTTATTTAAAATGCATCTCTGGGTTATTTGCGGGGCATAGGAATTCGTTCATTTCTCCCCCAAAAAATATAGTCCGGCCCCCCACAAGGTCTGAGGGACAGTGGACCGGCCCCCTGCTGAAAAAGGTTGCTGACCCCTGGTTAAGAGCATAATTCCATCTGGTGATCTTTTAAGTTGCGAGGAACGTTATTCTTCAGCTACCAAATACCTGGGTCAACAGGAATGTTTTCAGGTTCATCTTGAAAGTTCATAATGATGGAGACAGACATGGCTCACTAAGGAGAGCATTCCACAACTGGGGAACCAGTACTGAAAAGGCAGCCCACAGTGGTGTTGCCACTGCCATTCGTAGGGTCCAAAATCCTTGGTGATGGGGAAGGAGATTTTAGGTCAAACAGCTCTTAGTGTCAGAAAGTTCTTCCTGGTGTTTAGTCAGAATCTCCTTTCTTGTAATTTGAATCAATTGGTTCAGGTCCTAGCAGGAGGAAGAAAAACTTCCTCCACCTTCCATGTGAAAACCCTTTATATATTTGAAGATGGTGATCATACCTCTTCTCAGTCTCCTCTGTTCCAAGCTAAGCATGCCCAGCTCCTTCAACCATTCCTCATAAGGCTTGGTTTCCAGACCCTTTATCACTTTGGTCATCTTCCTCTGCACATCTTCCAGCTTGACAATATCCATCTTAAATTGTGATGCCCAGAACTGGACTTGGAACTCCAGGTGTGGTCTGGCCAAGGCTAAATAGAGTGGGACTGTTACTTCCCTTGATCAGTACACTAGACTTCTGTTGATGCAGGACTAATAATAATAATAATTTATACCCTGCCCATCTGGCACTCCCAACAGAATATTAAAAACACGATAAAACATCGAACATTAAAAACTTCCCTATACAGGGCTGCCTTCAGATGTCTTCTAAAAGTCAGATAGTTGTTTATTTCCTTGACATCTGATGGGAGAGCGTTCCACAGGGCGGGCGCCACCACCAAGAAGGCCCTCTGCCTGGTTCCCTGTAACCTCATCTCTTGCAGTGAGAGAACCACCAGAAGGCTCCCTCAGAGCTGGACCTCAGTGTCCAGGCTGAACGATCGGGGTGGAGACGCTCCTTCAGGTAGGACAGGCTAATCTGGGCATAAACAGAAGACACATGAGACATCAGTGACAAGGTGGAATCCAGGAGTACTCCCAAACGATGAACCTGATCCTTCACATAACAGCACATATAACATACATCTAATTCCCAGGCAAGGGAGTCACACACTCTTCCATCATATCAGGATTCAGTCTCAGTTTATTGGCCCCCATCCAGTCCACCAGTGCCTCTAGACACCTGTGAAATTGAAACTGAAATACTTTATTGTCACTTGTACAACTTGTATACAGTGATATTACACAAGCACCCCCCACTCAGCTCTCTTAGTCTTAATTCCCCTCGTTTACTGATGCACACCCACCAAACCCGAAAGTCAGTTGCCCTGTTGTTATCTTTTCATTCAGCAGCCTAACAGCCCACAGATAGAAGCTGTTCTTTACCCTGTTGGTGTGACTAATCACGCTTCTATATCTTCTGCCTGAGGGCAGGAGATCAAGAAAGTGCTGGCCAGGGTGTGAATCATCCCTGAGAATTTTCCTCACTCTCCTGAGGCAATGTTCTTCCTCGATGTCATCCAGCAGATTCACGGGACAGCCCATAATATCTTGTGCTGTATTCACCCCCCTCTGTAGGCACTTCCTATCAGTTGATGTCAAACCAGCGTACCACACCGTGATGCAGTATGAAAGGACATTTTCTCTTGTGGACCGGTAGAAGGAGATCATCAAATGTTGATTGACATTGTTCTTTCGCAATACTCTGAGGAGATGAAGTCTCTGTTGGGCTTTCTTAAGCCCCTGGGTTGTATTGATTTTCCAAGTAAGGTCTTCACTGAGGTAAACTCCTAGAAATTTAAAGGAAGAGACTCTCTCCACATCCTTCCCCGATGTACAGCGGGGCTAGTTCTCCTCTCTTCCTCCAAAAGTCCAGCACCATCTCCTTTGTCTTGCTGATATTAAGGTGCAAGTTGTTCCCTAGGCACCATGTAGATAGAGACATCTCCATGGCCTCTCCTGATTCCAGTGAAGCTGTGTGCCATCAACATACTGATAAATTGCAGTTACTCCATTAATGCTGGCGGCTGTGTTTAGTAGTCAGACGTCACATTTAAATTTGGGTTGGGGTTTTTTTTTGTTTGTTTGTTGTTTCTTTGCACTTCGCCCATCTATAATTTAAATGTAAAACGGAGGGTGGCTAGAATGTGCTTTTGATTCCTCAACGGCGCTCTTCCACTTTCCAAACTAAATTACATTCTTTTTAAACATATTCCAAGTCATAAGTGGCGGGGGGGGGGGGGGAATGACAAGGAGTTTCCAACATGAAACGTGTCATCCGGAACAGAAAATGGGAGAGAGCCATTGAGAAATCAAATGTACATTCAAGCCAACATCAGTTTTGCATTTAAATTATAGATGTAAGAAGTGCAGAAACAAAACAGGATTGAATTTAAGTGTGGCATCTGACTATTGCCTTCAAGTGTAATAAATAATTTTTCAGAGCTGTCAAACAAATTGCATTTGCAACAATCTGAACAAACCACTGAACGAATGAAAAGCACAATCAAGATGTATTGAACCAGTAAATGGGGAGCAGCCGCTTCCATCACCTTAAAACAACAGTCTGCTACATTTAAACATGGCAAATATTAAAAATTTGGCATGATTTTTTTAAAAAAAACTGTCAACATTTTAAATGGAGGTTGTTGATAGTATTTTTCATGGGAATCTGGTTAGCCACTGTGGGCATGGGAAGCTGGGCTTTTAGTCAGATCCAACAAGTAGGGGGGGACGCCGGAATGCGGGTGGCGCTGTGGGTTAAACCACAGAGCCTAGGACTTGCTGATCAGAAGGTCGGTGGTTCGAATCCCAGTGATGGAGTGAGCTCCCGTTGCTCAGTCCCTGCTCCTGCCAACCTAGCAGTTCAAAAGCACGTCAAAGTGCAAGTAGATAAATAGGTACTGCTCCGGTGGGAAGGTAAATGGCGTTTCCGTGCACTGCTCTGGTTTGCCAGAAGAGGCTTAGTCATGCTGGCCACATGACCTGGAAGCTGTACGCCGGCTCCCTCGGCCAATAAAGCGAGATGAGCGCGGCAACCCCAGAGTCGGCCACGACTGGACCTAATGGTCAGGGGTCCCTTTACCTTTACTTTAACAAGTAGGGGTACCAAGAAAAGTCTCCAGTATTGTGCATGTGGTTTGCACCCTCCAACCCATTTGCAAATGGGGATACCAATTTGCATAAATTTGCATATGATTTGTATCATATGCAAAATTTATCATTATTTTTTAAGTGGTATGGGGGGGGGCTCAAAATAAATCAGTGGCCACACATGTAATAAAATGTCTAACAGATAGAATGAGAACCAATGAAGTTTCCCCCCTCAGTGCATTTCTATACAATCCTGCATTTGCCACAGCAGAGGTCAGGTGGGGCGGGGCTCTTTAATGTGCACCTGCACTTGTTGTGTAGAAAATAACTGCAGAAAATAACTTACCAGAGTACCTAATCTCAGGGGAATCCACCACAGGAAAGATGTATCATGACTGCTAGGGAAAAAAGGAAGGGCAAACTTTGGAGATTCCAAGGACTAGAAAATGAGACAGAAGCAGGAAAAAAACAGCAGCTCTTTAGGATTCATGTCACCTGCTGTCTAAATGGCACACTTGTCAACTTTGACTTCACTCATGAGGTAAAAACACACACACATGGGAGCAGCCAGACTGGCTCATTTCACAGAAATTGCTTAGGAAGGGTTCCTGCACATTTTGCTTCGTAACTTTTTTTCTAGGAGGCCAACCTACCTTTTCTAAATAAATAAATAAAAATTTTAAAAGCTCTGTATCGTGCTCAGGTGCAGATGGCTCTGTTTTTTTGTTCCGGCGACTCGTGTTCGGGCAAAAAAAAGCTCAACAAGTTTGTGGGTCAACAACTGTCTGGATTTTTACTTCTTGAAATATGACAGCCCTAAATAGCCTTACTGTCATGCTTCTTTGAATCTAAATTGCTGCTCAGCAGCTGGATGTTTCCAAAACATGCGCGCTCTCTCGCTCTCTCTCTCTCTCTCTCTCTCTCTCTCTTTCTAGCATTCTGCCTTTTTTCAATACATGCCAGGCCAATACATTGCCATCCTTTTTTCCTTTTATGTGTGTCCATCACTTGCTGCGTCATTCACTGCTCCTCTAATATGATGTGATGCACACCAGGCTTTATTGAATCCCTGCTGAAGGTTTGATTTGCATATACCTAAGCTGTGAGGAAAAATGAGGCAAAATGACTGGCAGCACACCCTGGCAAAGGCTGGGCATTTTGCCTGGCCATTGATACTGGCCAAGGGTCCCATCATGTAAATGCTGTCACTTGTACTTTGTAGTCGAGGGTGAGAAAGGAGACAGTCCTCCCATGCTGTGTCTGACAGTCCCAGCAGCCTTGGTCAAAAAAGGTAAACGACCCTGTTCCACATACTCCATATATGCCAAAGGAAGATGCCTCACAGTTTGCCAAATGAATTGTCAGTTCTCTGTAAGTTCACATTACCAGCAAAGTTGTTGTTTTTCTGGTGTGTTTTGCAGCTCTTCCCCACGTCCCATGGCTTCAATTCAATTCATCCCACATACACCCGTCAGGAAGATATTGGGCATCACATGGCTGGACAAAGTCTCAAACAAAGATGTGCTCTCTCCCAAGCCAACATTCCCACTCCTGTCTCATTGACGTCTACCTTGGCTTGGTCATGTCCACAGGATGGAAGATGTCAGCATCCCCAAGGGAGATGGCTTCAGGCTCTGCATTACAAAGATATCTGTAAACATGATGGCTGGCAACATCAACCCCTCTGTTTGGAAACCCCTTACAAGATGACCACAGTGGCTGGAGAAAGTCAGGTCGTGTATCCATCGCAGGGACCAGAGGAGGAATGACAGCAGCACAACAGAATGCCTTCATCTGATCCAGGGGCAACACAACACATCTCTCCTGTATCAACACAACATGTCTCTCCCGTATCAGTCTTAACAGCCACAGCAGGCGCTGCAACTCTCCGAAGGTTTGACTTCACCTCCAAAGCCACACTCTTCCATTGTCTCCCAAGAGAGACGAGTGCCAGTCATCATACACCAGGAGGCATTGACAGGCAGGGGTGTGTTTCCCCAATGCAAAGGTGTTCACACCTTGGCTAGAGACAAATTAGGAATGGTTTTTGGACTCCAGTGGACACGAAGCTGGTTTGAGGAGCAACACATCAAACAGTGGTAACAAAGCACAGGGTACATATGCATTTTGGATAACATCATGTGAAACAGTATGAGTGCACATTAAACGGGAATGTGAACATAGCTTGAGTCTCTCGCATTGCTCCCTATCTTCCCAATGTCTGCTACCAAGTGACAGTTAAAAACATCCCCCTCAAAATCTGTACTCGCATTGTCTCTTGGAGAATCTACCCCAGAAATTGTGTGTGTGTGTGTGTGTGTGTGTGTGTGTGAGAGAGAGAGAGAGAGAGAGAGAGCGTAACTAATTGGGGTTGTGAACTTATGCACACTCAGTGGGACTTAGTTCTGAACAAACACACATAGGCTTGCAGTGTCCATTTCACAGTACAATATTTGGAAAGTTCATGTTGTGCTTGCAACACACTGTTTGCTCTGCCTTTTATAGCCGAACAGCCGCACCATGGATTATGGAATACAATGTCCTATGTTATTAAAGTTATGAACAGACTCAAATCCATGATACTGGTTGATCTTTTTCTACATGGTCTCATAACCCCAGAGCTATCTCACTTGGCTCCTTGCAATATATTCTATATTAACTGTGTGCAACAGCTAATACTCAAATTCTTAGAAATCTCAGCAAGTACAACAGTGTGAGCATGTGGAAGGGAGGGAGGAAGGGAGAAGAAAGCCAAGGGCCCGGGAGTAAGTCTCAATATAGGCAGCTGGTGATGATTTAATTTAGACTGTCTATACATACTGTACATTTATGTGACTGAATTAGGTCCTTTGTTATATAAGCAACGTGCATGGGAATTCATCTGTGTATACGGCAGATCAATGGTAGAGGAATATCCTCCGCAGGAAAATATTTCCTCTTCATGCAGCTCTGCCATGCTGTAACATATAGCTTAGATATAAATGGGAGCTGGTGATACAAAAGATGGAGCACAGTGACCTATCTCAAAAGAGGTGTATATCACTTTAAAAAATAATTGTGTCAGGAAACTAAAATCTAGCTGCTTCAGCCATTTGCTATCTGAAGCTTTTCTGTTCTTTCCATGGCACTCACCCAGTGAGCCTTGAGTGCTGAGCCAATTTTAAATGGACCTAGCTGAGACGTTTTAGTCGTCACCGGATAAAATATTGAATGCAGAAAAGGAACAGAGCCGCTTGCACTACTATCGCCAAACTCCCCAAAAAACCACAACACAGCAAAATAAAGACAGTTGCTGTGATAGGCTGTTTCTGTAAAATGCAGGGGAGAAATGTGGGGGGCGGGGCGGGATTAAAACAATGCTGACAGAAGAGCAACCCTATAGTAAGTTCTGGGGGTGTGGCAGGGGCAGAATGAGACAGCGGAGAGTCGGGGACTTAGCTTGGATTCTAAACTGGTTCACCTCAATCACCTGCCATGTGAAGCCAACACTAAAAACTGCTAGAGGCAGCTTGCACAGTAAGAAACTGAGAACCAGTGTGGTGTAGTGGTTAAGAGTGGTAGACTCGTAATCTGGTGAACCGGGTTCGCGTCTCCGCTCCTCCACATGCAGCTGCTGGGTGACCTTGGGCTAGTCACACTTCTCTGAAGTCTCTCAGCCCCACTCACCTCACAGAGTGTTAGTTGTGGGGGAGGAAGGGAAAGGAGAATGTTAGCCGCTTTGAGACTCCTTTGGGTAGTGATAAAGCGGGATATCAAATCCAAACCAGTTGAAACAACACTCTCTCTCTCTCTCTCTCTCTCTATATATATATATATTGCAAGCTGTTGCGAGAACCTCTTGCATATATTATTATTATTATTATTATTATTATTAAAATTTGCATACTGCCCTTCATCTCATCACAATTAAACAGAGAGACTATCAGATAAATACACAAATAATAATCCAAGGAGATTAAAATAAACAGCTCAGCAAGTTCAATGGTCTACCAAAGAAAGAAAAAAGAGGTATTGTTCAAAGGCAGTCAGAGGCCATCAGAGACTGGTCAAGCTGGGCTCGTCTGGGCAGGAAGTTCCAGAGTCTCAGAACAGCTACAGTAAAGTCCAATACAATTCAGATTCATGCAAGTTCATGCAGGAGAAGTCCCAAACTGGATATGGCTTTAAAGGTCAAAGAGGAAACTGCCTTAGAAGCCCTGTTTAGGGAGAGAGACAATGCGAATGCGACTGGTTCTCTTTGATTTCCCAGCACCTTTTGATACCGTCAATTGTGGCATCTTTCTGGAGAAGCCATCTGAGTTGGGTGGGTGTGACACCACTTTGTAGTGGTTCCAGTCAGGGGTGTAGTGGGGGGAGGCCTGCCGGGGCGACTGCTCCGCTTGCATTTTTCTGGGGGGCTACCCTCCCTGAGCCAGCCCTGTGCCACTTTGCGAGGTGGGGATCTGATTATTCCAGCCTCACAAAGCGTCTCGGGGCTGGTGTTGTTGTGGCAGCAATGGCAGGTAGGGCTGGGCCTGCATGTGGGGGTCTTTGTTCACCCTCCACCCCCTGCCCACCCCAGCGTACACCCGCGCCCCGGGCATCATGAGCACACATTGGTTCCAGTCCTACTTGGATGACTATGTCAAGGGTGGTCAGAGCAGGGGACCTGCTTAGCCCCCTGGAGTCTCCAATATGGGGTTCTGCAGGGGTCAGTTTTATCTCCCATGCTGTTTAACATGTACATGAGACCACTGAGTAGGTTCTTCTGACGAATTTGGGGTCTGCTGCCTTCAATATGCTGGTGATAACACAGCTCTCTTTCACTTTTGCATCTCAAGTAGGTGTAGTGATTGATGTGCTGAACTGAACTGTTGTCTGATAGACAGCCAATAAACTGGAGCTTAATCCAGAGAAGACTGTGGCACTGTTACAGCCTTGTGAGAATTAATTGAAACAAACAATTTAGTAGTTTATTGTACAAAATTCACATGTACATGTACAAAATTCACATACATTAGTAACAGATATGACCTCCGCTATTTTTAAGCAGCATTTGAACACGGTTTGGCATGGAGTCTACTAGTTTTGAACAGTCACTGTTGATTTTTGGATGCCTGTACCACACTTGAATCAGCGCCTGAATGAGCTTCTCCATAGTCGCACAGTCTACAGCACGGAGGTGGCTTTTGCATATAGCCCACAAATTCTTTTCTCCACTGGTCTTTTGTCCATTCCTTGTACTTTTTTGCCCATTTATACCACTTTTCTTTCATTTTTTGGTTAAAAGCTGTTTATTGACAGGTCTTCTGGCTTTTCGTCCGACCGCAGTAAGGCGCCATATTCAATGCATCACTTGTCTTGAGGGGATCCTTTTTGCTTTGTCGAAGCAAGAAAACGTCAACTCTAGTTGTTTTCTTCTTATGACCACACTTTCCTTTACATTTAGGAGAAACCGATCCGGCTGACAGTCGCTAAACTGCTAAACTCACACCAACCACTGAAGCAATCACTCGATACATCTTAGCTGTGTGTTCGTGCAGAGTTAGAATCTTCGTACGTTTCCTGGGTGTCACATCCATCTCAAATGGTGGTCGAATCAAAAGCTGATAAAATACTGTAGCTGCTGATGTAATGATTGTGTCATACACTACAGTGGTTGGACAAGATTTGGCGCAATACAGTAGCTGCTGGCATAATGATTGCATCATTAAAACGTAAAAAAATGATCAAACTGACTTTTCGTGTTTGCTTTGAGTACAGGATTACGAGAAAGATAGAAAACATGATTTGTTTCAATTAATTTGCACAAGGGTGTAGTGGGTAGTTCCTGAGACTGGGTCCTCTTCTGGATATGATTGCACTCCCCCGAAGGAGTATATGCATAGCTTAGGCGACACTTCTGATCTACATGGACGGCCTTCCATCAGCTTCAGTTTGTAGCCCCGCTGCCACCATATCTTGACAGAGATAGCTTAGCTTCTATTGACTGTGTTCTGGTAATCCCTAGGTTAGATTGCTGTAATGTGCTACCGGTGGGGCTGCCTTTGGAAGTCCAAAAGTGCCCACCCACAATGCCATTAGGAAAGTCTACACCAGTTTTCCAAATGGACACACGGTGAGCTAATGGAGAATCAATGTGCAATGAACGTTTCTTTTTCTGAATGAAACCAGTTTCCCAAGAGGAGGTTTTCAAGGGCAAAAAAAGATACTGTACATCTTGATTGTGTGTGGACTACATAGAAAAGAACAAGTACATGGGGGGGAGACAACAACCCATTGATTCTAGAGTAAAATGTTGTGTGGACATAGGCTAAGTTTTACAAATGGTGTCTGATATAAGTTTTAAAAAAACTGCTTGTTTTCCCTTATGGGGTACCCAAGAGCCCATATAGAGTCCTTTTGTAGGTTCTCCATTGGTAGGAGAAAATAACGGAGACCAACCAGAGAATATTGAGAAGCAAAGCAGCCAGTAAGCCTGATCTTTATTAACTGTTTCAACAGGGTGTTCCCACATATGCAGGAGAGAGGAGGAGGACCCAGAACAAAGGTGTGCCCGCCCTTATATAGACATTTTAAATTGCCTGCCCTGGAGTCCGAGACCAGCCCCTGAAACATCATACATACATCACAGAAGGGGTGTAGCCCAAGACCCCCCCCGATACATCATGCCTACATCACAGAAAAGGCGGTCTACAGCAGAAATTTGAGTGCGTTGTTTATGTCCTGTCTGGCAAGTTACCTGATTGCATTATCTGGGTTTTTTTTTTTTTTTATAATTGATATTTATTAAATTTTCAAAGAATAACAACAAAAATTTCCAAAAAAAATTTAAGGATACAAAAAACAAAAATAGTACATAAACAAAAAAGAAAAGAAAACCCAGCCGCAAAGAAAAAAAAAAAGAGAAACAGAAAAACAAAAATATAAAGTCCTTTACAATCTCTATTGACTTCCTTTCTAGACTTCCTCCTCCTCCCCTCTTTTGTTTCTTAATTTTTAATTTTTACAGCAAATCCTTTCTGTTTTTTCATAACAATCTGTCATTACGTTTCCTTATTCTATTTTCCCTCTTGTCATATAAAAACTTTAAAACTCATAGCTTATATTCAATATTTACCAAATTCTTGCATCATTACCTTTTTACGAATCATTTACCAATCCTTACTTAAGCCATGTAATTTCATTCAAC